ATCGACTGATAACAAGTTATCAGCCATAAACAAACAATAAATCTGATTTTCAAACCTCTTTTAAAAAGAACAAATAAATTCTAAAAAATATAAAACTTTGGAGAATGATTGTAAACATGATAATGAACCTGTTACAAAAAGAATTTTTGGAATTGCACTTCCCAAAAATAAAAACTTTTCATTTTGTAAAATAGTCCAAAACATGAAAACTAAACAATACATGTTTTTGATATTTTGACTTAAACAATATTTTCAAAACTTTTGAATGAGTTTATAGACTTAGGAAAAGATATAACCTAGTGTTATTAAGTCTGTAAACTAAGAATACAATATTTTATCGAAAATACACATATTTTACAATCTTTCAAAATAATAAACATGATTTCAAAACTTAATTTTAATGAAATTATAACAAGCACATATAAACATGAATATGTATTTATATACGCATATTCGATTAATGTATATGTGACTAAACACATATAAACATGAATATGTATTTATATACGCATATTCGATTAATGTATATGTGACTAAACACATAGTTTTCAAAAACAAAAACATATGTATTTATATACGCATATTCGATTAATGTATATGTGACTAAACACATAGTTTTCAAAAACAAAAACATTAAATATGAAATGTGTATATATGTAAATAAGAATATATATTTCATATTTACAAAAACGTGAAAACTATAAAACCAAAAACGATGTATGTGTGTAAGTGATTGAGCTTGAAGTATATACACACAAAGTATTAACCTAAAACTAAATTACCCAAGCTATCTTGATCTACGATGAAGCTCAGCTTGGAAAACTATGTGGATGAAGCTTGAACTTGGAAATTCGACTTGAAGTGTATTACTTCACTCCACTATACCGCCAACCTCCATTTGATTTGATCGTGAACGCGCAATTCCATCCAACCTCCAACTTATTGTTTGTAGAATAAATAAGAAAACATAAATACTAGACAAACAATATTAGATGTAAATTGTTTGTTAAAACATCATCAAAACAAAAAGGCCAACAACATCATAATAACTCCAATGCCGTATTAATACTGATGGTGACTAGGCAGTGAAGCGCGGGCGTGAACTATTCATGCATTAAACGCAATATGACCCCTAATAATGTTTGGCAGGCTGTACCACTGTTAAAGACGCGCATTGCTGGGTCTAAGTGGCAAACATGTTTCGTCTCAAGCCAATCATCTAACAGATCACATGCCGGTCATGCCTTTTGTCTCGGATTTGGGTCACAAGACAGGTTGACTATCTTAGTGCGCGAGTTATATTTGCAGATGCATTCAGAGGCGACCAACTAGCCTTTACACGTGGCCACTTTTTTGGGATTCCATTAGAATTGGTAATTTTCTAGGTGTATAATATGTACTAAGTGTTAGACTCTATTGCCACTAGGAAAGAACCCTAGAGCTGGGTGAATAGGATTTATGTTAATCTAAGCAAACTCAAATACAAGAAAATAATCACGGAGTTCGGACCTTACGTCCTAAGTCTCCGCTCCCCACTCCCGAGGAGAAATTTACTACACAACCGGGTTTTTAACGCTCACCCGAATAACGTTTACACCTCACACTTGGTTTCCTAGCTCACTAAAAACTTTACAAATAACAATCTTACAATCACACTCTATACCCTCTAAGTGTTGGTCTCTAGCCAATGTCTCCCTTAAGTGCTCGGATTTACAACCTCTCCTTAGGTTTTACTACCGACACCACTCCTCTTGGGACGACCCCGTCTCTCACCACACACTCCTCTCGGTGTACAAGTGTATTACAAAGTATAACTCACAATAAAAGCTCTATACAATAATTTGTTCTCTAATATAGATGAGAACACAATAAAAGCTCACTCTCTAAGTCACCAAGAATTGAAGATCAAACACCAAGAATTGATCTCCACTTACTATTGTGAAAATATCTTTACAAACTAAGCTTTGAACAAACTAAACAAACTTTAAACAATTGTTAAACACACTTAAACTCTTTTTAAAACTCTCTTGGTTAGTTAAACATAGCTGGGTATGAGGGGAATATATAGGGAACCCCAAAGATCAAGAAAACCCAGCAAAAAGATCAAAAAAATAAAAACAGTACAAATTTAGAAAAAACTAGCCGTTACAACATCAGTCGACTGATGGGTTTGATCAGTCGACTCATGAGCTGACCGTTACAGGCAGCTCACAGCTCATCAGTCGATTGAAGACCTTGTCAGTCGACTGATGACTGAAGACCTCATCAGTCGACTGATCAGTTGACTGAATAAAAAACAAAAACTTTTTACAATTCTAGGTGATTTCTTCAGTCGACTGAACACTTGCATCAGTCGACTGATAACATAATATCTGCCTATAATAAATAGTAAAACTAATTTTTAAAGTATCTTTAAAAATAGCAAATAAATTTAGAAAAATATACAACTTTGAGAAATGATTGTAAACATGATAATAAATATATTACAAAAAGAACTTTTTAATTTGTACTTCCTATTTGTAAAATATCATCATTTTACAAAACCTGGTCAAAACATGAAAACGTGAAACACTTGTTTTTGATATTTTGACTTAAACAATGTTTTGACACATTATAAAATATTTTTATAGACTTGATAAAAGATGTAAAATATTATTATGAAGTCTACAAACTAAAGATTTAATATTATGCAAAAATAAAGTTTTGCACAATATATGCCTTTGACAAAATGATAAATATGAAATATATAAATGTGTATAAATGTGTATTTATTTCATATCTATATCACTAAACCAAAGACTTATTTATTAACATTGAAAATAAACATGTATAAAAAAATTTGGAATTTATTTGTAAAAACTTTGTTTGTGGATAAAACCAAAATGTGTGTATATATATATAACTATATATATACATAGAAACCAATAAAATATGTGTGTATATGATATTGAGCTTAGAGTATCAACACACATAATATAAACTCCTAAACTAGATTACTCAAGCTATAGGTCTTCAATAAGCTCGACTTGGTACACTTACGGATGAAGATTGAACTTGGATCTTGACTTGAATTACATTGCTTCACTCCACTATTCCACCAACCTCCATTGGATATGATCGTGAAAGCTCGATTCCATCCATCTTTTAACTTATTGTTTGTCTAGAATAAATAAGAAAACACAAGCACTAGACAAACAATATTAGTTGTAAATTATTTATTAAAACATCATCAAAACAAAAAGGCCAACACTAAGCTTACATCTCAATCTCGCATTGATTCCAATGTTATAGTGTAGGATCATTAATATAGTCATCTTCTCAATCCTTAATTCGAGAATCATTGCTCTCGATCCTAGTCCTAGGTGGGGATGACTGTTTTCCCTCAAAATCTAATATCTGGATTCAAGATATCATATCAATCTTCGACTGCTGGGAAAGAATTGGGGTGCGGCAGGAAGAAATGAAATTCTTTCTCCTCCTTGGTCGCTTATCTCGGTGTGCTCGTGATATTCGTCGAAGACCCACATATCGTAATGATCGTTAGTCCTTGCGGAGTCATTTCTTCTGGCGCTGTCTGATTCAAGTGACCTATAATATAGATTGTCCCGGGCCGGGATATCATTCAATATCCGTGCCCTTCTCCCCTTCCTTGTCTCGACTATTGAAAACTATTTCACCGCTAAACCATACAATGGTCATACTTTGCGTCAATGCTGCAAAACTTCAATCTTTGAGCATTCGAGAAGCCAGTTCCTTAGTATCTTTCTTTTCTTCTTACTTAGGAATGAGTGTGCGATTCCGGTCCGAGCATATGACGATCAACCCGATAATGAAGAAGTATGGAGTGTCATAAGCGTACAAATAAGTAAAAAAAATCAAGGAAGCGATTACGTTAACTGGCCCCTAGAAATAATTTCTAAATCTTTGTTCATTTTATATTGGACCTTTAAATCTTTATATTTCTAAATTAGATCCTAAATCATGTTTTAAAGAAGATCCTAATTCAAATTTATTAAATTGTCTTAAATAAGACCATCAGATCTATTAACTTGTTTTAAAAGACTTTTGATTTCAAACAAATATGATGGTTTAAGGTAGAGATGAGCGTGGATTGGACCATGCCTAACCCATGAATCAACTAGGTCGGTTTTGGGTCCTCGCCGATTCAGACCCGAGCTCGGACTGGCCTTTGTGGGCCGAGCTAAGGACTTTGTCCCGGATCTGAGACTAGACCCATCCTGGCCCATGACCAGCATGAGACCGACCCAGGTCAAACCTGGGCCACGACTGTTTGAGTTGTGGGTCAGCCCAACCACATTCTTTATTTTTGTTTAAATTTTTTTCTTTTCAATTTTTTTTTGCTAAATTAGTATGTATGGTATTAAAGAGGGACTTGAATTTTACATTTATACAAAATCTAAACCCTATAACTTTACAATTGGTGATACAATAATCTCAATGGACAAAAGGTACACATTAATTTTAGCATTTTTAATGGGATGATTGGATTGCTAGTCTAGGTTAACATGAATAACAAAAATAAATAGGGTTGGCTTGAGTTATTTTTGAACATATAATTGGATTAGGCTGGAATTTTCAGAGAAAAATAAAATTAACACCCTAAGCGGGCCGAGCTAGACTAGGTGGGACCGGGTCAAACATGAGCCAGGTTGGACATGTGCTTGCTTCTATTTCCACGAGTTTAGAGTCGAGCCTAGCCAGATACATGACTTGTGTAAATCATAGGCCGTGTTGGGCCTAACCAAGTATGGGTTGGGCCAGGTCTTAGCCTAAAGCGGGCTGGACGGGTTCGGGCACGCCACCCCCTAGTTTAAGATTTGAGTGCGTGAACACATAATTAATAAAGACTTGCTAATATGACAAAAACCCCAATTTGTAACTGAAATCCAAGTGTCTGTTCAGGTTATTGGGTCCCAGTATGTCCCTACTTATAAAGCCCGAATCCCTAGGGTCCACAGCCCGATACATTCTCTCTTTTTCCTCGTTCACTCCGTTGCTCTCACACTAAACAAGCGGCGGTCGACCAAAAATCCTAGTTGCCGTCGCGTCGACGGCCGATCGAGCGTCCGATCGCTCTATCGAGCAATGGCGTCCGTTTACATTCCGGTTCAAAACTCTGAAGAGGTGGTGAGGGTTGTCCTCGACCAATTGCCGAGGGACGCCGACGACATCCTCGACATCCTCAAAGCCGAGCAAGCTCCTCTTGATCTCTGGCTCACAATCGCTGTCAGTATCTCTCTTTTTCTCGTAGAATTGGCTTTCGATGATTGTGTGCTTTGAACTGTGTTCTCTAGTGATCAACTCTGTCATTTAGCTTACTCGGTATCCAGTTTAACTTTCGAAGTTTATGTCGGGTTAAAGTTCTTGATTAGGTCAGTAGCGATCACGTCTAAGATTTAGTTTCTGAGATCCTTGTTTAATAAAGGAGCCATTGCAGCTTTTGCTTCCACGCAAGCATTAATGCTTCATGATCCATCTATATATAGATTCTTTTTGTTTTTGTCGACATGAGATTTTGTACTTTAAATAAGGCTATTAAAACCCATTTCCTCTGATTAGCTAACATATTCATGTGCAATTACTTCCTTTCCATTATCTGTTTATCTCGCGAGTTTATGCATAATTCCGAGGATAGGATATCTCATTTCTCAAGGAGACACGAAACTATGATGCAATATGCCTGCTTAATTTGAGCATAAGAAGGATTTATGGGATATGCATAACTGAAGTTTGGAAATTCAAGGAAGAGTGTGCATGAAACTACCAGTATCTCCATTTTCTTGATAACTGGTTGAACAATGTTGTGTAATAATTAAATGATATCCTGAGAACCAATCATATAGTGTTACGTCTCTGGGAGTTTGGTGCACCGTGGTCAGCAAAGGGACATGTCCTCTGCTGACCCAGACACTCGGTTAATCAATGAAGATCAGACAGAGCGGCGACATTTGTTCTCAAGGCAGAACAACATTTGTTCTCAAGGCAGAACAGCTGGGCTGCGATCACTAGAGCTCGGCCAATCCTAACGGACGTGTGGTTTGTACGCCGTCATAATCAGTCAGGGCTTGGTGAGATTCTCTAGGTCACGTGCATGCCAGCTTGCTGCCATATCTTTTTCAGATCAAGGACTTGTCGATTATGAGGCAATTACCTCGGCCAATAAGAAGATGCTGACACATGAACTCCTCCTGTACGAACTCCCATAAATAGGAGATTTGTTGGCAACATTCCTCTAAGCTAATGTTACCTGATCTAGGGTTTAGTACCGCCTCTCTTTACTGTTTCATTAGTCCACAAAGAGTGATTCTCACTAGACCGCTGGAGGGACAACCAGAGAACCCATCTCCACCAGCTCAAACGGGTTGTTCCATTCAGTTAGTGGTTTGTCAAAGAAGGTGTTCACCCAGTCAGTGGTTTCGTCGAATGCCCTTTCCCATCATCCTCCACTGGTGAGGGTGACTCATCAAATTCTACTGTGTTTCAACAGAAGAACTATCGGTATCACTTAATCCATGATTCCATTAACAGATATCATGCAGGGTTAGAAGAATGACAATACGTCATACTTATATCTTATCTTTGGAGAATTTTTTGAAATAAACCGAATTTGATAAATATTTAGCAAAAAAGACCGTTTTGCTAAATATTTATCAAAATCGACCTCTTTTTGGCCAGCTCACCAAGGCTTACCAAAAAGAGGTCGATTTTGCAAAATATGGGTTTCAAAACACATAGGACTACTAGTCTCGTGTGTTTAGTGGTTGTTAATCGTAGTCTAAACAACACACACAAAACCCATGGGACCAGTAGTCTCGTGGGTTTTGTGCACAGTGGCAAATTCTTTGAGGCAAAAGCCAAATTATTCCATGATTAGTGCGATAAAGACTATATGCATAGCTTGGGTGGTAAATATACTGTTTGGAAACTATTGTTTCATTTGAGACAAAAGCTTGATTATTTTCCATCCAGTAGCCATTATTGCGAGAGCAAGCGAGAGCGGGGTTTTCGTTGGCGGGGAATAAAATTAAAGTGAGGTCACAAAAAAGAAAAAAATGACTGCTTCTTTAACTTCTTCCCTCTCCCTCACTTTTAATCAACACCGCCATTTCTGCACCCAGAATCACACCCACTCCTCCATCTCCACCCAACTCAATCTGCCACTGTGCACAAAACCCATGGACAACTAGTCCCGTGGGTTTTGTGTATGTTATTTAGGTGGCGATTAGCAACCAGTAAACGCACCGTACTAGTAGTCCCGTGTATTTTGAAACTCACATTTAGCAAAATCAATCTCTTTTTGGCAAGCCTTGGTGAACTGGCCAAAAAGAGGTCGATTTTGCTAAATATTTAGCAAAATGATTGTTTTTGCTAAATATATATCAAATTTGGTCTCTTTCAAAAAATTCTCCCTTATATTCCTTATCTTCTCAGAAAGCTTTCTAGTGTTATCGAAGTCCTCGTGGTAGGCGACAGACTAAAAGAATAGTTTGGACTACAGTTCTATTGCTTCCATATATGTCCAGTCACAATTCCAAAAAGTTAATGGCGATCGAGAAAAAAAATTATTGTGTATGTAAAAAATTTATTACCATGTGGGAACTAATTCGTTGTTGAGTTGTATGATCTTATACTTTGGTATGTCATAAATTCCTTGTTGACTTGTATGATCTTATGCTCCGGATCAATTGTGTACGTACTTCTTGAAGCTCATCTCACTTTAGCAACAAAGATTATCCTCTTCCTTCCATTACTTGTATGCTATCCTGATTTCTCCTCACATTTATGTTGCTTCTTTGGGTGAGACCATTAACTGTTTGACATTTATGGTTGAGCACCTTAAAATAGATACTTTTTCTATTCTATAATTTTGGACTTCCTGGAGTGTTTGACTTATTGTCTCTTAATGGCTTTTATTGGCTGGAGGTGCTTGAGTTAATATTTTCTGAGCTGTGTGCTCCTAATGCGGAAGAGTGAAAGAAATATATGGTGCAATGAACTGAACTGGGGTATTTTCAATCATGTTTCTTCATACTGATTGAGAAGTGAATTTTTTCTGGCAGAAAACAGCTGTAGAGATCCACCTGAAAAATTAATTGATCCTAGTTTCTAGAATGCTACTTTCTTGTATGGTTCCAATATATGCAGACCTTGGTACCTTTCTCTACAACTGCCAAGTCTGCCACTTCACCATCAATTCTATATTTGTGAATAATCTCCATTTGAAGCATTTGGACTAGCTCTTGACATAGTATATTTGGGAGGAAAAGTTTCATTCATTTTCTTGAGTGTTCTCTTTGACCAATTCCCTGAGAACCTCAGAACTTTGTTTCTGTATTTGAGTTCCCGCAAAAGTTTCTAAAAGACGTAGTCTCGGGATGAAGCAAATCATATATTCAATTGTAGGCTAAAAGCCTAAAACATTCAACCAAGACATTTATCCATGAACATAAAAAAAATAATTGACACCTCTTTCTTTTTGTCATTTTGATCAAGTATGGAAAAGTAATGCCTAATGAGCTCAAATAGTAGATTTGGCCAGCAAGAATAAATTGAATCTAACAATTTGCAAATTTTTGTATCTGTGTGTAGCTTGTCTTGTAAGACAACATGGCTGAGATTTCTCGAATCTTTAAACTCCAGCTAGTAATAAAATATTTGGTCAGAGAGAATAAGTTGAATTGATTTATGTACTTGGTATAATTTGTATCTTAAGGTCATCAAAGTGAAATTCTCTCAAATCTTTAAAGAATAGCAGGTACTACAACTTCCATTATGTATTAAATTTTTGTTTAACCTACTATCTTAATCCTTCTTTTTCACTAATTGAAACCATTTCAGGATTCTCCTACATCGAATTAGTGTGTAGCAACATTTTGTCAGTAGTGAAACAGTTATTTATGTAGTGAACAAATCACATTTCCCAAAGCTACAATACATTTATTCACTCATTTTTTATGGTTTCTTATATTTGTGTTTCAAGCATCCTTTGCTGCAGTATGGAGTTATTTTATGTAGTAAGCAATTTGAATTATTTACAACTTCACATGTGATCTTAATCTAGGTTTATGCATACAAGGAAAGAAAAAAGTGTAGAACATTTTTTGGGGACAGATCAGTGCTAATGGAAATAACTAAATGAAAGTTCCATCAATGAAGAAGAGTTTGGTACAAAATCTATGTAATTGTTGCATTTTTAAACTTGGTATCATATATCTGGATTGTCCACCCACATGAAAAGTATAATGTTTCTAGCTATTCCTGTGGAATGCCTATGATCCCAATGCTGAGGTCATTACTTTTTCTAAATTCAATTAGGTAGTATCCATTGCTGAGTACTAAGGTAATAAATTTCATTTTATTTACTATTAACTCTGCGACCAATTTTAGGATGCAGATACTGTTTATTGTGGTATTCACAAACTGTTACTTTCATCATTTTCTGTTGTTGGTACAGAGAGAATACTTTAAGCAAGGAAAATTTGAACAATTTCGGAAAATATTGGAGGAAGGTTCCAGCCCAGGTATGGTATTTAATTGATTGTTTCTTCCTTAAAGTTGGAGACGACAAGCATTTTAAGGAAATGATGATTGATGACAATCATTTTGTTACAACATGTTTCTATTAATTTCTATGACATCCATAATGCAAACCTTTCCCATCCGCATGTTTTTTGGATAAGAAAGCACGAGTCAAATTTGATAATCCTCCAGAGAAAAAATTGCCAAAGTTTTTTATTTCGAACATTGACCTTGAGTTCAACAATCTATCAGTCAGTCAGTCAGTTAACACTAATTTCCTTACTATGACCTCACTTCATAAGGAAAGTCATGGATAAATGTTGGTGCAAGCTGGGAGTATTTTCGTTAGCTTATAATTTTATTTCTATATATGTATATATCGTGACATTCTTGATGTTGCAGAAATCGATGAGTACTATGCTGATATAAAGTATGAGCGGATTGCTATCCTAAATGCATTAGGGGCATATCATACTTATCTGGGGAAGACTGAAACAAAACAACGAGAGAAGGATGAGCATTTTCAGTTAGCAATTCAATATTACAACAGATCATCAAGGATTGATGTTCATGAATCCTCGACATGGATCAGGAAAGGTGAGTGGTTTGTAAGAAAGTATTTATGGTAGTAGATTTTCCATCTAAATCAGGATTTGAAATATAATCACTTGATACATTCTTATGGTATGGCTGCTTAGTTGTTGGCTCCTGACAACATTGAAGATGTCAAGAATACTTTTCATACTGTCAAAGTTCGGTGGTTCTTCATTAGAAACTTTGTATTTCTATAGCATCATTGATGTAGGACATCTAGAATATTAGATTAGTTAGGATTTTTAGGATATGATTTTTAGATATTTAGATAGGATTGGATCAGTTATTTGGTTAGATTTATTATTTTGTTATTTTATTGGATTTGATTAAACTTATTAGTTAAAATTAAGAGTTATTTTATTGCTATAAAAAGGATTGTAATGTTTCATTTTATAGATGGAAAATTGAGGAATAAAATTTGAGTTTTGAGAGATGATTTTAGAGTGATTCCATAGGTTTGAGGCCATATATTTTTATTAGACATCCATGTGAAACCAGTTTTTTCTATTATTTTCAGAGGTTAGATGCTGTGAATGAGATGCTGTGAATGAGTTCAGTCAAGCCTATTTATATTTTCCCCCCTCCAACAACCTACTGTTCACCTGACACTATTCAAGAGTTACTGTTTGCCCGGTACTGTTTATCACCATTTCACATCAATCATGACTAGTATGTGTCTGCGTTTAATTCATTCGAGTCTCAATATTTCTGCATTTCTTTGATATAATAAAAGAAGTACAATAAGTGTATTCATAGGTGTAACTCTATAAGTGAAGGATATAGTAAGGATGTTTCATGCATAGTTCTGATTAATTTGGGTGAGGAGCATATGAGCTTTATTTGAGGTCATTTTGTATAATGAAGAGGGTCTGTTGCTCTTAACAGTATCTGACTGTTCTGGATGCTGTGGATGGTAATCCTGACTACTCTAAGAAATACGCATAGCTTCGGAAGCAGTTTCTCTCATTGAGTTTTAGGTACCTGTTAGTTTTCAGAATTTTAAGACTGGGATTTCCAAATTCTATTGGCACCAAGAAAGGACAATCCAGTTAATCTGTGCAGTTGTTCCAACGGTTTCAGCAATTTAAACCTTAATTTCTCTTCTATCTTCAACTTGATGTATTGTTGAAACAAGCACCGCCATCATTACAATAAATAGAATGACAAGGTAATCCGTAGGCATGGATTCTGATCTTATTCCTTCTCTTGCATTCCGGTGTAAAACATCTATTACATGCATGGAACTCACTTGATATGAAGATCATGTGTAAAATGCACAACATCTCACTGTCCAATCAGGATCAGCTTTCTCATGTTTGTTTTGTACATGGTAATATTTATGAGGCTTTTATAATCCACTGTGATATAGTAACGGAATAATAGTTAGTTGATAAGTTGCATCTACTAATCTATCAACTTTATCTATGTATGCAGGTCAGCTTTTCATGGCCAAAGGTGATATCCAGCAAGCTTCTTGTTTCTTTAAAATAGTATTGGATGAAGATCCTAATAATGTTCCTGCTCTTCTTGGACAAGTATGGTCATTCTTTTCAGTCCTAGTATTGGGCTGCATTCTAGTAATCAGTTCAAATAATTTCAATAAGCATGTTTTGCCTCATTTTGTGTATGGTTGGTCAAGTGCCATTTGAATTAATATTGTGTATTCGGAGGCGATATTTGAATTTTGTTTCTGTTTTTTTTAATTTCTACCTATGCTAAGCAAAAAAATTTATAGCTATGAACATATGAATATCTGAATTTTGAACTTTTCATTTTTCTCAGATGCACCTTTGAGTTATACAATGCGGAATTGAAGACTCAAGAGATATAACTGGCTTCTGTTATGGATATTTGCAGTTCTTCTTACTGTTCTTTTGAAATGTCGAGCATGTTAAGTTTGTCTGCATAATTTTAATAGATAAAAATGTATAGGATACTTCAAAATTTAGGCATGTTTACGTGTCCAATACTCAGGCTATGACACTCCCACATACTTTGATCATTCACGACTCTCTCGCTACCTTGGCACTTTTTTTATTCGAGATACTCACTCCTTTTACTCGACTCCCCATTCTTGAGTATTTACTTGTTTACATATTTTCATGAAACATATACATAATATAGCTGTATCCTGAATCCAAAGTTTGGAAGTTTCTCATATCGGACAATTGGCACCCGTGCCTTATGAGGACAATATATGTGCATCCTGAATCTAGACAATGTAGCTGTACCCTTGAAAGGAGAATGATCAAAGATAAACTTGGAAAGTACATCATTAACATTTTATTCACTCAGATTGTCGCAAAATATTGTCATATTACCTTATTTAAGCCTTTCCCTAAGGGAAAAAATTAAAATGAATGAAACTATCTACTATCTACTATCTAAGGGGAAAAAAATTTAAAATGAATGAAAGTATCTACTATCTAAGGTATCCTTTTAGATGCCAACTGTGGAAGAAAAGGAATACAAACAAAAAGTAGTGTGATGGATCCTCACTACTGTCTTGTCTGTTTAATATGTATGCACATAGCCTTTCTCATGCATGTCTGAATTCCAATTTATCTCAAGAAATTTTAATTAATTTTGTTCGTACCTGCCAGTTGCACCACCCTCACATAAAGTCAAGGTGTCTGTGTGTTTGCCTTTGGTCCATCCAGACTACTAATCTCCATTATTGATTGGTTACAGTCCTAAAATTCCCTTAAAGGATCCCCGAAATCTTAACTTCAACTGAAGTACAAATGACCAATTTACTTAATGTATTAATATATGAGTTCAATGCAGCCCAGAAATAACTGATTCAGTTCGCTATTCAGATAATTCAGGATCCTCCTGATCAGCAACACCCTTGAGGTTCAATGGAGTTTTGCTTCCGTTACTCTGTGTGCTGTCAGCCTTTGTGGATAATCTGAATGCTTGCATGTTGGAAGTACTAAACTTCTAAGTTTGCTTGTTATATATGCCGTTAGCTCATAACCTATTCGTCTAAGCTTTTGGGAGGTAAAGTGGTTATTTAATATGCATATGCACGCGTCCGGTGGATGCTTTATGTGACTTAACAGTTTAAACTCATATACTTGGCCCTTGGGTTGGATGATCCACACTGTTGTTAATGAGCATGAGCAGGAGGTGGAGATCATCTTGTAGAAGTTGCTTGATTTCGCCTTATGCGATCAGTGACAAAAGCATTATGAGTTAAACCTTTTTATCTGTGCTCTTCTGTATTTTCTCTTTAGATGTCTTCATCTACTCCATACCATAAACAGTGATGACCAGGCGAGGGCATTGAAGGAACCTGTCTCACTTACCCTCCTCCGCTTTAGTTCCTACATGGAAATTGTTTTCTATTTCCCTTTTAGGTTTATCTGCTTCTTTTATGTCGAATCACAAATTTTCTTTCTTGAGCTTTTGTTAGTCAAGTTAATTTTGGTGGGTTACCCCTTGGATACATGAGTCTCAATTATTAGGCTAATTAGGGGTGGGCGTGGACCGGGCCGGTTCAGGTTTATGACCCGACTGGCCAGGTTCAAGGCTGAGTCGAGCCTAACCCGGGCGTGGCCAGGTCAGAGTAGACCGGGCTTATTTCTCTAATCCCAGGTCTGGGACTAAACACAGTCTGGCCTACGACCTACCTAGGTGCAGGCCGGGTCTGACCCGACCCACAGCCCATGGATTTTTCGTCTAACTTTTTTTTCCTATTTTTTTACCTTTTTGATTATGTTAAACTTGTATTTACAATTATAAAATTATTTCTAAATTATTTTTTAATAATTTAAACTTATATTAAATTATTTTTAAACTTGAATTAAATTTTTTAATCATTCCAAATAGGCAACAGTGAGCTTAAAGATCACTACTTTGTTTTTAATGGGCCAAAATGCCCACGAGCCAAAGACGTGTGACATTTTAGATTTGTTGGCAGCTAGCTGTAGACCAAAAGGGCTAAAGGAACAACTAGAATAAGCAAAAAATATATTATGGGCCGGGGCAGGTCAGCGTGGGCCGGGCCAGCATGGGCGGGGCCAACATGGGCAAGCATGAGCCAGGTTTACTTCTCTGACTCTGGGTCTGGGGCTAGACCCATCCTAGCCCGTGACCAGCGTGTGTCATGATCGTGTCGGGTCCCCCATCCCACTACGAGGCTAGGGTTGGGTGTGACGCATGGCGGGCTGGGCCGGAGATCATCTTGTAGAAGTAGCTTGATTTCTCCTTATGCGATCAGTGGCAGAAACATAATGAGTTAATCCTTTTTATCTCTGCTCTTCCGTAATTTATACCTCCTATTCTTTTCTTTCCCTTCTCTTTAGATGTCTTCATCTACTCCATACCATAAACAGTGATGACGAGGGCAAGGGCATTGAAGGAACCTGTCTCACTTACCCTCCTCTTTAGTCCATACATGGAAACCGTTTTCTATTTCCCTTTGGGTATATCTGCTCCTTTTATGTCGAATCACAATTTTTCTTTCTTGAGCTTTTGTTAGTTAAGTTAATTTTGGTAGGTTACCCCTTGGATACACGAGTCTCAATTACTGGGCTAATATAGTAGAATATCCTACCCATTAATTGGCTTTCCGAGATTCATGGCAAGCCTTTCAGACCAAGCTTCCTTATCAAAAGTTCTTAACCAATTTTGAAGGACATCAGGCTTTCAATGAGTCGTGAAATTCTTCAACTTTTCATGGAATTGTGTAATCCTCAGAAGACCTGTTTTGATGGGGAAAGTTTAGACGATATGATAAATTTTCGTGTTTTTCTTTTTTCCTGTTATTCTAGTGAGGAACATCACTTAGCTATTTACATCATGCAGAAGCACGTTTATAGTTTCACGTTATTCCTATTAGCTTCTATCTGACGGGTCTGGCTGATGTAGCTATACATGTTATATCTACGTTATATAGAAGATGCACACACACACACATGAAGTCTTGAATCTCAGCATTTGTTCTTCTTGTATCAATGATGAAGCAATATATTGGAAATTTGATTTCTTTAATTTAATTTCTAATTTCCTATTCAGGCTTGCGTTGAGTTTAACCTGGGAGAGAATGAAGAGCAGCCCAATAAAGCACTAGTTTCATATAGCAACTCTTTGAAGTTATTTAGGGTTTGTTTCTTCTTATGTCTCCTGACTTTCTCTCTCTATTAAATTACAAAAATATTAAGTTTATAATTTCTTGTTTGGTATTAAACACTCAATTAACTTCTTTATGAAATTTGAATAGAGGGCATTGCAAGTGCATCCTAACTGTCCTGGAGCTGTGAGACTTGGTATAGGTCTATGTTGCTATAGACTGGGGCCGACTGAAAAAGCTCAACAAACCTTCCGTCGAGTTCTTCAAGTAAGTTGGTAATTCATCCTCCTATATATACATATACTTGATAGACCTTAATGCTTTTCTGATTCTTTTTTTCTATGATCACATTATGTAGTTAGATCCCGAAAATGTTGAAGCTCTAGTTGCACTTGGAATTACAGATTTGCAAACAGATGAAGGTGATATGATAGTGCAATGTAAATTAATGAATGAATTGTTATCTTCCTGCTTTTGTGTTTTCCTGACAATTTGGCTCCTTAACGCGTGATTATATTTACATTAATTTTTTGCAGCTATTGGAATTCAGAAGGGAATGGAAAAGTTGCAAAGGGCTTTCGAAATATACCCTTATTGTTCAATGGCACTAAATCATCTGGCAAACCACTTTTTCTTTACTGGGCAGCATTTTTTGGTCGAACAATTAACTGAATCTGCTCTTGCTACGAGCAATCATGCCTTGACAAGATCACATTCTTATTACAATTTGGGAAGATCTTACCATAGTAAGGTGACTTCATGCTTTTGAATCTTGGGGATTTTTTGCTTGGGGACTTTATGCTTTTTTTTGAAATAATCTTGGGGACTTCATGCTTTTGAAAATTAGATCTTGATTATGCATCCTTAGAAATATTTCTTTAACGTCTTGTATTATTTATCTGTTTTATAACAACTTTTTTGCAACCATAGGGTGATTTTGAGAAAGCTGGCTGTTACTATATGGCATCTGTCAAAGAAATCAACAGGAAACAGGACTTTGTGTTGCCGTATTATGGTATGTGTCCTTATACTTTCCCTCTCATCTGTTCATGCATTTATATGAACAATATTTATCTTATAATGTGTATTACCCTCCATAGTTATTGAAGGCTAAGATTGTTTGCTACTAAGATTGTTGGAAAGTAATGGTAACTATCTTCCCACTGTAGTAACTACCAATCACAGACCCACATCTACCACAAAATCACCTATATATAGCCCTCCTAGCCTTAAGTTGAGATCATCCCAGTGTTTTACTATTTCCGCACTACTATTTGCTATGATCCCGCTCTATCTGGCCCCGGGTTTGTCCAAATAAGTTGTACTAGAGTTTGAGTTAGGGTGCGTGTATCTGCTTATCGTAGACTTTATAGCTGCCACCAAAGGTAGATCCTTCACATCAGAAAATAAGCTAGACTATCAGTTACCCTTTAAAGGCACTAGGCACTAGGCACTATTCACGAGTACGGTATTATTCACAAGTATGGTTACCATTCACAAGTACGGTTATTGTTCATAAGTACGGTTACTGTTCACATAAAATAGTAAAAGTTATCGTTCGTGGTAGAAGCAATGGCGGCGAAGTTCGAGATTGAGAAATTTAACATAAGTAATTTCTCACTATGAAAGTTGAAGATAAAGACTATCTTGAGAAAAGATTATTATTTAGCGGCTATCGGTGCAAGGCTGGAAGATATCACAGATGATAGGAACGAGATGGACGGAAATGCTATTGTTAATCTCCATCTGGCATTAGCAGATGGGGTACTGTCAAGCATAGAGGAGAAAAAAAGTAAATAATATCTAGGATACTCTAACAAAACTATATGAGACCAAATCCTTGCATAACAAAATCTTCTTAAAATAAGACTTTACACTCTGAGGATAATGAAATCTATATCGATGACCGACCACATCAACACCCTAAACACACTATTTTTCTAACTCACAATGTTGGGGCATACAGTCGGTGTGAATGAACGTGCAGAGCTTCTACTTTAAAGTCTACCTGATTCGTATGATCAGCGCATCATCAAACTAACAAACAATGTCCTTACAGATTATCTAGTCTTCAACAACATTGCAACAGCTGTTCTAGAGGAAGAAAATCGGCGCAAGAATAAAGAAGATAGGTAGGCAAGTTCGCAATAAGCGGAGGCCTTATCGGTGACGAGAGGAAGATCAAAGGAATATGGCTCCAGTAGGATTTACACCCATAGTAGGTCAAAATCAAGAAGAAAGAAGAATATATAATGCTAAACTGTGACAAAAGGGGGCATGTGAAATCAGAGTATTGGCACAATAAAAAGAATGGTGATAAAAAATCTTCAGAGCCATCAACATCTCAAGGATCCGTCATAAGCAATCAGACGATGATGAAATTTTATACAGTGGAGCAACTACTATTGATGAAGACAGAAAGAGGTTTACTGATGTCTGACTTCTAGATTCAGCAACCTCCTGGCACATGACCTCTCGAAGAGAATTGTTTTACAAATATGAACCTATCTCAGGGGGTTCTATATTTATGGGCAATGATCATGTATTAAAAATTTCTGGTGTTGGCATTATCAAAATTAAAATGTTTAATGATATAATATACACCATTCAAGATGTACGACATGTGAAAGGCTTAAAGAAAAATCTATTGTCTTTAAGATAATTGGATGAGCTTGGATGCAAGATCCATATAGAAAATGAGATAATAAAAATTGTTAGTGAGGCGCTTATTGTGATAAAGGAAGAAAAGATAGCTATAAATCTATATATGCTCAAGGGAGAAACCTTGTAGGAAGCTGATTCATGTATGACATTAATTAACCGTAAAGAAGAACAAACTATAATGTGTCACCATAAACTAGGCCACATGTCAGAACGATGCTTGAAGATTCTCTCCGATCAGAAGCTACTTCATGAGCTCAAATCAGGAGCTTTTCCCTTCTGCGAGCATTGTATTACAAGTAAGCAGCATCGGTTGAAGTTTAACACATCGAGTTCTAGAAGCAATGCTATTCTGGAATTGGTTTATTCTGATGTATGACAAACACCAATTACATCCAAGGGAGGAGCAAAGTACTTCGTGTCAATTATTCTAGAAGATGTTGGGTGTACCCTATCAAGAACAAGGCTGATGTGTTTTTTTGATGTTAATAATCAAACAGGTTATTATAACAGGTGTTGATGTCCGAGATCACACAGTCGATGAGAGCTATCCGCTGACGACGAAGAGTGAGAGGATGAGAGATGGGGTCGACTCCTCCGACTTTATGTCCGATCATTGGATTAAAATTCCTGATTCTTCTGCATAAATAAGAAGAACGAACCTTTAAGAGGGCGGGGTTTGTTTCCCTAGTGGTACCTTCGACGGTCAAGTCAGCTGGTGAGCTTGAGTGGGGTTTGAGGGAGAGTCTTGGGACCATTGAGGTCCTCATAAAGGAGTACTCTTTTAGAGTTATTAGTAAAAAGAAAATAGATCAAGAGGGAGAAATGATCCCCCGAATTTAATGAAGGTCAAGGTCTAACCTCTTAGTCGAGTCAAGATTAAAAGAAAGAAAAACCTCTCTTTCCTTACCCTCCTTCCTCCATTTTATAGTCCTTCGCCCTTGGATTCTAACCCTTGGCTTTGACTATGTACAGGAGGGCGGTGGTGGGGTGAGCAGATATGCTGCTAAGTCATTCTCTACTTTACAAATGTCAGCTGGCGACTGGAGGGGAAGTCATTTGAGCACAGGAGAGGATGTCTCTAACATATCCTAGATTTGACAGATGAGGTATTGGCGGAAGATAGGCTGGTTGCTTAGTCACTCTTTGCTTTACATATGCCGGCTGACGAATGGAAGGGAAGTCATTCGAGCACAGGAGAAGATATCTTAGTGATATCTGGGAAGTAACTTATGAGCAGAGTAAGCTGTTTATACCTGAGATTTGTTAGAGTTGAGATCTTAATGGGATTGATCAATACTGTAGTGTCGATTGATGTATATTTGAAGAGAGCTGAGTTGGATTTTATCCCCTCAGGAGAGACGGGTTGGCTTTCAAGTCGTTCCTATGATTTGCCGACCAAATAGTCGAATGAGCTTCTGGTCGAGGAGATAGCCGAGTAGATAGTCGAGCCGATTATTGAGGAGTCGTCTCGATTTATGAGGGATCGACTAATCCCGCACTTCGCGTCGGTAAAGATGACTCGTTTGCTTGGCGGGTCAATAGACTCGTTCTTGGCTGGGCTTTGAGCCGCTAAGCTGGTTTGGGCCATAGCTTTTTTGGACCTATGAAGACATAGTTTCTCGATATTTTTATCTTTAGATGGTGAATTACCATAACAGATGACTCTTTTTACTCGGAGTTGACTTTAGTCGGGTTCGAGTGAAACAGATAAAAGCTTTCGATCAGTATAAACTCGCTCAAGACGTTGAGGGTTTTTAGCCAGTTGATCGTGGCTGAAGACATGGTGTAGGATTTTCTGTCCAACCATCAATGTTACATTAAACGCTGGGCTCTTCTAGGCGTCGGACTTGGCGCTTCTAGGCGTCGGACTAGTCGCCTAGGCGGGGGCGCCTAACTGCCTAAGCGGTTTTTGGACGTTTTTTTTTCTTTATTTAAGTGGTGGTTGATGAGGTTTTGCTGAAGGTCGGAGGAGATAGTGGAGATGTTCATATTTGGAGGTTAATAGAGTTTGGAGGACGTGTAGGCTACGACACATAAAATCACAATCAAGGCCTACATGATGCAATCTATGTAAGCAAACAATGCTTCTCTAAACGCTCGTAAAATCTAGGTGGGCAGCCTAAATACAGCCTACACGCTAGGCGCTAGTTAGGCGGCCTAGGTACCGCCTAGGTCTAAGCGTACGCCTAAGCGGACTAGGCGGAGGTTTTTTAAAACAGTGCCAACCATCATTTCCTATGAACCGATATCTTGAACCGCTTTTTTAAAAGAGACGAAGCATTGTGGACAGAACGAGTGGTGCTTCATTGCTAATTTATTGGTGTGTAATAATGTGCAGGAGCGGCGGTTGGTATTTCGAGCAATCTGTTTCAGATTCTCAAAATAGATCTTTCTTGGTCGCTTCAAGATTGTGCCTCTTGAGTTCTTCTACATGCTTCTCTTGGAGGCTTATAAATATCCTAAGGTCTGAGATAATTTTCTCACAGATCTTTCATCTTCAAAAATCGTTGAACTTTGTAAAGAAGGAAATTTTCCATGACTTCTCCAGCTCCCGCTTCTAGCCATCGCGAAGAAAAGATTTCCGTACTTTGGCGACTACGTTCATGGGTCCTTAGGGATCAGTTGAAATGGACGTGCGAGAGGTTCGATATTCCTCGAGGCATAACGCTTGAGGAGTCCAAGCTGACAGAGCTCGTATATAATCATGGCTAGGGGCGAGTGCCATTGTACTTGGTACATCTGGAGCAGGGTCTGCGACTGCCTCTTTATTCCTTGGTCAGGGGAGTACATGTAGCTCTAGGGGTTTCCCCAATGTAGTTTTATCCGAATGCAGTAAAAGGGCTTTGGTGGCCTTCGTGATCGTCTGCTATCGAGTTGGAGTACGGCCCAGCATGAAAGTGCTGGGTTATTTGTTGAGTGTGGGATCGACTGAAGGGGACCCGCACTATTTTTATCATATTGATGATAATTTCAAGCTCTCCCTGGATCTTCCTTAATTGGAGGAGGATTGGAGGGAGCATTTTGTGTGGGCTTATGGAGCTGATGACATCTTTGCCTGCTCGACCTAACCGAAGGCAAATCTGGAGGCTCTAAGGCTAGTTGCCCTTAGCAGTCTGGAGAAGGAGGCCCGGAGAAGATCCGTTCTTATGCTAGGCCTTTGGACGTGAAGGACTTAGTGATGACATGTCCATGATCTTGTCTTCCACTGGCTTCGCGGTTAGGGTGAGCTCTCCTATTCCTCCGTCAGTGGAGGTATGTAATAGGAGGCTTGGGGCCGAGAGGGAAGGCTCGGCTGGGGAGTCTCGGAAGAGATCGAGGGGAGGAGGCTTGGGGCCGAGAGGGAAGGCTCGG